TAACTCTTTCAAATCAGACCAATGGCATCAAGTTGGGCGAATCTGAGTCAACTCGGAAGTCAAAGGATGAACAACCAGTCAAAAACAAAGACACATTTAGTTAAATGAGAGCATAACTGGCCTTTAAACTGAACAGTAAATCAGGTACATGTCAGTATCCTTTATCCAAACTCCGCATAAAACATTGTAAAAACTGTACCGGTAAGCTTACTGTTTGTTAGGCCTACTTACCTGTCATTTATTTATGATCAAAATAATTAATATGACAATTAAAGAATTTCTAAAGATCTTCATATCCATTTCTTACCTTTAAAAATGTCTAATCTCAACTGTCGTCTTCTGCCATTTAAATCATAAGCTTACTGATTAATATTAAGCATAGGATACATGTCATAAATATAGTCTAGATCTTCATGTCATCGTTAATCAGTTTATATTAAAGCTAGAGGTATTGATTTTAAGCGTACCGTTGCGGTACTAATTCCACAATAATGATCAATATCTGGCTTCTTTTATTAATATTAGTATTATAACCATACAGAGGTTGTCCCTTTAAATAATGAATCTTTCAACTTCATAACGGTACATGTATGTACAGGTAAAACTGTGTGTTGTTTGACTGGATGCCAACTTATACTCATTGTATTTCCTGATACTACATGATATATTTCAGTGAATAAATCTGGTGAATACATTTTTAAGAAAGACTCTAAAACATGCATTATGCAAGTGCTAAATCTACCTATTGCATATCTTTCTTTAGGCCTGAAATGTTATCAAAATTATTAATTAGACATTAATTGACATACCAAGACCATACTCAACTCTTGATGCCATCACTAGCCTGTGATATTTAGTGCATTCGATTGATAATTTAACATAAAAATGGATAGGCCTACCGTAATAGTACTAGGCTAGCCTAAAATTGAATCACTAATAACTTGGTTCAGAGTGGAGCAATATGACTGAAATTTTCGGCATAATCCATTTTCATTATCTATTTTTTAACTATTATAGCGAGAACTGTCACCTCTTTATCTAATAGTACCTTATATACATGTATACATGTATAATGCCCCTTTAAAAAAAAAAGAACCCTACATCGTTGTAACCAGCAATTATCTGGAGTTCTGTGATATAGGTTTTTTAAAAATACAAATGTCCAGGTGTTACTGGTACATGCAGAGTTTTGAATAAACCTGTCTTAAAACTCGAGCAGTGCTCATAAGGGCCACCCAAAATAATTAATACTGTACCGTACCCAAAACAATCTAAAATACCAGATATCTAGCAAATTTGCCTAAATTAGCAAATTAACAAATAATTTGCACTGACAAAATCATTGTAAAGTTTGTAAAATTGTAAGATTTAAACATACATTATGCAAGAGCAAAATCTGATTATTGCAAGTCTTAATTTAGGCTTCAGATGTTATAGAAATTATAAATTAGATCTTTATTTAAACAACAAGCCCAAAATCAACTCTGTAGACCCACGGATGGCTCGGCTACAGCTCGGATTTAAATAGGATTTCACTTATCAATTAATTCAAATATGGCGCATCCTGATGAGAATACGTCAGTTAGATCGAGGCTAAATGATAGAGTGTACTTAGCGAGGCCGCTGTAGAGTGTTTCCGCATGCCATTGAAAACTTTACTTGATAATCGAGATATGTAGGTGGAGTTAACGCCTGTCAATCAAACGATCAGCCACGGTGAAGGCACATTTCACTACCATTTCTAGTCAAATATTACAAAGATGACAACTATGTTCAGAATAAAGTAATTTGACTGAAATTTTCAAAACATTCTTCTTTCATCATCTACTTTTGAACTGTTACAGCAAGAATGGCCAATTCTCTGTAAAAATCTCCCATAATGTATCTTTAATCTGCTTTCACTGCCCAAACCTATTCCCCCAAGTGTAAAAATAAAACCCTGTCAATTCTAAATGTGGTCAACTGGACTAAGCAAATTAATTTACCTGCTGTTTTGATAACTCTTTCCCCATATGTACTATATTTACATACCGGGTACCAGTTTTACCATTATTGTTTACTATTCACCACAATACAGAAGCTTGTATGCTCGATTATGAAAAAGTTTGCAAAAAATTTAATCTCAGAGGTGACATCATATTGCACACATAAGGATGTCGTAAAGTATTTTCAATTTTTATATAAAGTTTATAATTATAAACTAGATACGATTTGCGGTCCTTGCCCGTTTCAATGTGGGGAAACTGTACCTACAATTGTTAGCAATTCCCCTCCTTCGGTATTTCTTCAACATTCCCAAGGGGTGGGGATACAAAAATAAATGTTGGCGAAAATAGTCCCCCAAAGACTTCTAGATAAATGGCGAAAATGACGTTTCATTTGTGGCCGAAACGAGAACTGTGCACATTAATTTGTAAATTCACAAACATTTGTTATTAATTGCGGAAGCGGATAAATAACCCAGAAAGCAAGATTATAAGTAATAAGATATACGTCCACTGTTTTGTTATTTTCTAATAAATAAAATGTGATTTTTATTTATACCGGAAAAATTGTCAATTCATTGTAAATCGACTTTTCTCAACGGACATCGGCAATACCAAAGAATGGACGATATTCAACAAATATGCAATTCATTCGAGAATTTTAGATACTATACTCAGATTCTAAATCTGAACATAGTTTCTAAAATTGGGAGACAGAAATTAAATATTTCACACAAAAACAAACGCCTTAAGTTTTCTAGATGACACTGGGCAAACTAATTACAAGACATGAAAAGTAAACGGCATTGCATTACTACTCACCCGTAAGTTACTAGACGGCTCTCGGTAAAGTGGTAATTTGGCGTAAAATCTAAACGCCTTAAATAATTAAACACTCTGTTCATTTCTTGACAACGTCCGGGAAAATAAACGCCTTGTCTAAAAACTAAACCCCTTTCAAATCTAAATGGTAGTGTTCATTTCTAAAAAACATCCCGAGAAACTGGACGGTCGTAAAGCAGATGATCGTTGTCAAAAGTAAACGGTGTTTCTTAATCTACACGGTAGCACAAACTGGGCGGTTTGGGGTGAATCTTGACGGCATTTAACACATTCTTGACGGCAATCTATTAGCTGGATACGTGTATTAAATTCTTGACGATAAGCTTAGTTTCTTTCCTTTTTTTGTAAAGTCTGGACGAGGGCGCGTCAAATTACCCAATAACTGCCCAATAACACTTAATAACTGCCCAATAACACCCAATAATGGCCCAGTAACACCCAATAACGGCCCAGTAACACCCAATAACTCCAAAATAAGAACCAATAACTACAAAATGTTGACTTTGGAAACACAAAATAACAATTTAGTTGAATTTAAGACGCATCGCTGCTTTGTGTCCAAATCAGAGTTTCACGCTCACTCGCCTGAAGGGAGATAACTCGTATATGTGATTTTTGTTGACAAGAAATTAATAACACCCAATAACTGCTCAATAACACCCAATAACACCAAATTGTTGACTTTGGAAATACAAAATAACAATTTAGTTGAATTTAAAAGCCTCGCAACGTTGAGCCCAAATCAGAGTTTTACGCTCACTCGCCTGAAGGGAGATAACTTGTGTATGTGATTTTTTTTAACAAGAAATTAATGTATGCTTTCGTTGCAATTCGTTTTAATTATACATGATAGGAAAAATCCCCGAGTTGAGTATCCTTGCGGATCATGTTTGAAAGAAACTCGCGATATTCAAAGCTTATATTGTGAAGTATGTCAACGTTGGTGCCATTCAGATTGTGAGAAAGTAGATACTACTCAGTTGAATTTTTTTCAATGTTCAAGTGAAGACTACATATGAATCATTAAGTACACAGCTAAGATATATGGCTTGTATTGAAATGGTGACAAAAAAAACCCAACAAATATTTCAACCAAAAAACAGGCTTTGAAATTCAACTAAATTGTTATTTTGTATTTCCAAAGTCAACAATTTGGTGTTATTGGGTAGTTATTGGGTGTTATTGGGCAGTTATTGGGTGTTATTAATTTCTTGTCAACAAAAATCACATATACGAGTGTCGAGTTATCTCCCTTCAGGCGAGTGAGCGTGAAACTCCGATTTGGACACAAAGCAGCGATGCCTCTTAAATTCAACTAAATTGTTATTTTGTGTTTCCAAAGTTAACATTTTGTAGTTATTGGTTGTTATTTTGGAGTTATTATTTTGGAGTTATTGGGTGTTATTTTGGAGTTATTTGGAGTTATCGGGTGTTATTGGGCAGTTATTCATTGGGGGATATTGGTTGTTATTGGGTAATTCCACGCGCCGTCTGGACGATACCCGGTCCCTAGTTTACCGTTATGGTACATGATGATTCGTGTACCAATGGTAAAATGTCTATTTTGTATTAAATATTGGATATGAGAAGCCCCTCTTGATCACAACATCAATGTTGATTTAAATTTAAAATTGACAAATAATTCGTGTTTTCAATGTCGGAAAACTTTGGATGATATCGAGTTAGAGACTTAGCTACTTTAAGGGGATATAAATTATAATTGTAGGTCACATAGTCATAAGCCTTTAGAAATCAAATAGCTATATTTTATTTATTATTTTTGTTTGTTTTAGGAATTTAGGTGGCACTTATTTTAATCGTGCAATCGTTTTATTATGAAATTAGTAGGTTTTCTTGGTTTTCCATATCGTGAATAAACTTCACATCAGTCAAAAAAAACCAAACAATTCTATTGTCAAGGCTCAATAGGTCGTGTCTCATCAATATAACTACTCGGCAGACTTGCTTCTCTGATATTTTTTTTGGCAGACGAATAACGGTCGATAGAACTCAATAAAATGGGTAAAAGGGTGAGTTTTGATGGATAGTTTCCTCAACTACATACGGCACGATGCTAAAACATGTCAATAAAACGGTTGTCTTAGTCTGTGCAGTGACAAAATGTTAAAATAAATTTACTTACTTAGTTTATATTACGAATACTCTGCACATTTTGTTGCACAATACTGGATCTTCAATGAGTTACTTTCTATTTTTCACTCGGCAACCGGCTGCAGATTTCACTCGGCCAACTTCGGTTACTCCTCTACACCAAACCATGTTTCCAAACAGAGTTATCTTTCCGTGACCCGCAAATTATATTTTTAACAATGAGTTGAATTCTATAGGAGGTGTTGGAACTCCCGCAAACAGTGCCGGTGGTGCAAGTAAGTTATAAAAATAAATACAACTGACAAAAGGTTAAGGACCACCTTAAAGTAAAACAAGACAGGAATATTTGGTCATTTAAGTAATAGATATTTTTTAATTGAGGATTTCGAAAAATATAGGAGTCCATTAGATGATCTGGTCAGGAAAAGGATGAGGATTACAGACAAGAGTAGGAGTGATAACCATCGTCATGTGTATCCCTCTCTCACTTGGAGAGAGAGAGAGAAATGGGGTTTAACGTCCACTCGACTAACATATGGTTCAATTTTATTTCCATAATTCGCTTGCGCGTAGGGATCTTTAGCTGTGGGAGGAAACCGGAGGACCCGGAGGAAACCCACGAGGTTGGACAGGCGACCCTACTCCTTGTCACGTACAACCGGGGATTCGAAACCACGCCAGTTGACTGAATGACAGACTTTATGATACAGCGCGCGCACGCTAACCGTTCAGCCATCCAACCCCCCCCCCCCCTCTCTCACTTGGATCACGTCCTCAACACCTCTTGTTTGATTAGTACCATGGTACCAAAGGAACCTGACACTATTCTTCTTGGAGTGGCAAGACTTATGCTGGAAGTATTTTGTGATGGATATTACATGGTTCCAAATAAAAACCATCTGAATTTATTGTTGATGGTTAAATATCAAACAGACCTCATTTTAAACGGTGGTGCTTATCTTTTTGACACACATAATTTTTACCGTACTACTGCTCAAAAGCTTTTAATTTTGTTTTAAAATTCTGTTAATTCGTTGATAAATCACGTTATTCTATTCTCTAGTCATGGTAGTCAGTTAAACTTGAAACCTGTATGTTTAAGTTGTAACCACTGTAAAAAGGATGGCTGTAGAAGAATCATGTTCGTTCTGAATCTAAATGTAAAACCTATTCCCCCCCCCCCCCTCCCCAGCCGCTGATCAACAGAAATGAGTTTATTTTGTTTGTGGCTTGATAAATACAAGAGAACACTTTTCAAGACGTCGTCAGAAATGAACTGTGAAAAAACTTGTATTTAATACACCGGTATATTAGTCATGGTTTATTCAATACAGTTACTAAATGCAGCTTTAACAAACTACATTTTTTAATGGTTTATTTACAGAGAAGAAATGGGAAACATTACCAGGCTGCCAGACACGCCCCATTGATAACAAAGGTCTGCCTGCTGCCGCTGTACACAAAACACCCAACCCAGAACCAATCGATGCCACAAAATTGCCGCTAGCAGAAAAAATTTGACGACTTTCAATGTTTTTACGAAGTGAAAAAAAAGTAATCGATGAAATTATGGTGAGGTTTTATTTATTAAAGATACATTATGGGAGATGGAGATAAGATAACGAGTTAGCAGTTCTCACTATAATAGTTAAAAACTACATAATGTAAAGGGAATTTGCTGAAAATGTCAGTCAAATTGGTCCACTATGAACCGAAAACTAAGCGGATGAAAGTTTCGCCTAGCCTCGAAACTAATAGTCTCGATTGTCTATTGTTGTGATTTAATTATCAATGAGCGATAGCAGCATATAGAATTGTAATCCAGTCGACATCGAAGGCTAGCCTTGACATCGGGAGTTTATTATGGTCTGGATAAGTTAATTAATGTCTAATTAATAATTTAGATAAGATTTCAGGCCTAAAGAAAGACCTGAAATTGACAGGTTTAGCTCTTGCATAATGCATGTTTAATATTTTTCACAATAATCTCATTAAAAACACAGATTCTGCTTTATTTTTATTTTTATTCAAGCATGTATTACGTATAAAATTCTTTTATTTGCCCATCTACATAAGACCAGTGGGGCGAGTTTGGGTGGTCGAAGCGTTAATGCGTCATTACCCGCTTGTACGTGACAAGGAGTAGGGTCGTCTGTTCAACCTCGTGCGTTTTCTCCATGTCCTCAGGGTTTCCTTCCACTGCTAAAGACCCCTAATGAAATAAAATGAACTATATGTTAGTCCCGAAATGACCTAGTGTCGAGTGAACAATAAAGCCCATTTTCCTCTCTTTCCCATTAAATCCTATTTTATTTCATTTTAGTTGTTTGAGAATTCTCTGATGAGTTGTAAAGTTGGAATTAGACCAGATTTTTTGATCGATGGCATGGTACAAGGAAAGAACGGATCCTTTTTCACTGGCCGACTTAATCTGGGTGGTGTGTTCCTAGCCAGAGCTATCGGCATCAACAAGAAAGAAATCAAACTGTCATGTTTCAAGAAGGCGGTGGAACTTTATCGTACCCTTCCTGTCACTGAAATTTTGAACCAGGATGATATGACCCCAAAAGTTATCAAGGAGAAACTGGAGAATTTTAACTCGACCGTTGCTAAGATGGAGAAAGAAACAATTGCAGAGTTACCCCCACCATCTATTTTGAAACAGATCCAAGATATTCTAACCAATCCTAAATATGCTTCAACCAATTCAATCAGCAAAATGGAGTTGGCGGCCTCTGTGGCTAAATGTCGAGTCCGTTGTCGATATGATGTAGAGAGTTGTAAAGCTGAATCAGGGAAAGTTTATCATAAGGGCATGTACTTTACTGACAACATACTACAAGGTGCAGGTGTTTCAGTTTCCAAAAAAACTGCTAAGTCATTGTGTTATAATATGGTGGTTGAACGACTGACCACCATGAATGTTGAACATGGCAACATCTTAGATGGTGTCGAACAGTCTGTCATAACAGAAGCAGAAGCACAGGTTCAGAGCACTTTGGGAAAGGCAGCACCAAATCCTAGGGCATTTGATCTCCGTGAACAGTTTGTCAAAATGAACGAACTTAGCAGTGCCACGCATCCTGCATCCATCATTACTGTCCTGGATGGAATTTTCAACGATGTAAAATTGACGCCCATTTGTCTGTACCGTCGTAGCATGAACACAGAAATAGAAAAGGAGAAAATTTTCTGTAACCTCTATCTAGCTGGTCATCTCATCATGATTGGTGAAGCAGAGAACCGAACAGATGCCCAAGCAGACGCTTACTCTAAAGCCCGAGAGGTTTTGACGAACTGTGACCCCGAGTTCATCCTCCCCCAACACAGTAAACTTCAACCACACGACCAAGCAGCAACAGATGTTATCGACTTTCGTGTCAAGGGCAACTGCATTTTGGAAGATAACTGTTCGAATCTTCATCGCTTACAATGGACCCGAAAACCTATATCAACACTACCAGCCAAGGATATCGTTGTCTTTGAGGACGTCAGTTGGATAGTAGATCGTAAAGTTCAAGGTTTCTATATTTTACAACATTCATGTTTTGTCAACAATATGTTGTTGGAATGGGAGTTTTTGGACAATGATGATCGTGTATTCAGGTAAGTTGCCTTAAGGCCTAGTCTGGTCTCCCGGCCATAATCTTAAGGCCTAGTCTTGTGTCTTCCGGTCTCAACTGTAAGGCTTAGTCTTGTATCTTCTGGCCTCAACTGTAAGGCCTAGTCTTGTGTCTCTTAAGACCTAGTCTTGAATCTCTTAAGACCTACTGTAGTCTTGCGTCTTCCGGCCTTAACTGTAAGACCTAGGCTGTGTTTCCTGGCCTTAGCCTTCAAGCCAGAATTTCATATTTTCTATGAAAGTCAAAACATAATTATTTCTATGTCTTTTGCTCAATAGGTTATCAACTCACTATTATACGACTATGGGCATTATTTCCCACCCTTAAAAATCATTGACACAGGAAATAATAACACAATTACCTCCCTTGTTTTCCTATTGCTTCCATGCATTAGCTATCTTCAAATGTTGGAATTCGAAAATGATAATTTTGCCAATTTCGCAGCTGGCAATAGTGAATTATAGGATTAATAGGATTATTCTTTAACAAGGTAGGACTGTGTATGGATACCATCTATTTTAAGGCTTCTTTGTTTCACTAATTTAAATAATGCATGTAAATTTCAGAAAGATCGGATGATAACTTTTGGAGTTGAAGCGTTCACAAGGTTCAATAAAGTGAAACAAGGGCCATAACTCTAGACGTAATAAACAGAAATTGTTGAAATTCAATAGGCTTCTTCGTTTCACTAACATAAATATTGCATATAAATTTCACAAAGATCGTATGTTAACTTTTGGCATTAGAGCGTTCACAAGGTTCAACAAAGTGAAACAAGGGCCATAACTCTAGACGTAATAAACGGAAGTTATTGAAATTAAATAGGCTTCTTCATCTCACTAATGAAAACAACATATATCAATTTTAAAACAATTGGATGATAACTTTTGGCGTTAGAGCGTTCACAAGAAATTGTGGACGATGGACGGACGGACGGGGGCGACGGCAATATACGTCCACATTTCAGTGTGGGCGTATAAAAACCAATTTAGCCAAGCATTGCATTTCTACACCCTTTCACTGAAGCAACGTTCCTGTCCCTTGAGCAGGGTTATCCTGTGACAACACCAGAAGATTGATATATGGGTGGGCTGGTCTAGTGGTCTAATGCATGCCCTTTAGATCATAAGATATGTCCTTGAATCAATTTGAGCCAAGCTTGTATGTGACAAGGAGTAGAATCTCATGTCCAGTATCGTGCATTTTTTTCCCGTTCCGTCAACATGCTGCCAATGGCTATACAAGGGACCTTTTTTCTTGTCCAGTCCATCTTGCCCTTGCAACAAGACGAAAAAAGGCTGGAAAAACCTGAGGAATTTCATTGGCCAGATTAAAAACAGATTCTTATCAATGAGCCAGTGTCCTACACACCGAGTCAGAACCCACCGAGCCAGCGGTTTACCCACAGAGGTGGGTCTTTACCCACTGAGACATTGTCTTACCAACTGAGCTGGTGGCTTAACCCCTGAGCCGATGGCTTATCCACAGAGCTGGCACCTCATGTACTGAGCCACCTTGGTTTTCGTTCTGCTCTTGTATTGCACATAAAAATGCCTTCCTGGCTAGGCACAGATTTGACCTTTAATTGATGAATGCCATTATTTAAAGTTAACCTAGATATCATGTCTTAGTAAATCGTTTTTCATTCCAGGTTTCTGCTTACACTAAACCTGATCAAGTGATAGAATCTGTCAGTTTTGATACGTTGCTTAAAGAAGCGGAGGTGTTGAAGAAAGCTGCCGAGGATGCAGGAGAAAATGTTACAGCTACTACAGCTGAGGGAACTGATTCAGAAACTGAGACCAGTGACACAGATGTTGAAATGAAGGAAGAAGTAACAGATTCACAGGCTAAGAAGAAATATCCTAGAAAACCACATTACCGTCATGCTGATAGATTTATTTTAAAAGCTGCCCAGGCACGACTAGACGAATTCATAAAAGTTAAAATGCTAAAAGATCTACTGTTTGGACCTGCTTTCCCTCATCATATCACACGCCAGATTAACGGCTTACTGTATAACCTCCCCATTCCAATTCGCTTTATATATCATTCCACCAGAAATCAGATGTACACCATTGTAACGCAAAGTATGTCACCGATCAAAATTGTCGCATTTCTCAAAGCCAACGGTGGACAGTCTGGTCGCTTTCGTTTAGTCGACAAATCAGAACTTCCGACACATAAGGACATTTTACCAGAACTTAAAAGTAGGGAAATTTTAACTAAGATCAAATCCAAATTTTAGTAGAAATTTCAATTTTGATTGGCTAAGCACTAAAACCAATCAAATTGTTGGCTTTTTTTTGCTAATAAATATAAGTGCTAGTCTAATGTCTTGTCTCAATTACATCTTCAACAGTATGGTTTTGTTTCTAATTTAAAATCCAAATATTTGTCTAAAGTCTTTACCAGTTGTGTGGTTGAGTGGTCTGACGTATGCTTTAGATCATAAGGTCTGTCACTGATTCAAGCGCCATGGTTTGTTTTGAAGGTACTTCCAACCTTATTTGTCTTATTTTCGCCAGTCATGTTTGGCCGTTTTGACTGACTTGCAGTGAAATTGACCAACTGGAGAATACTAGTAGATCATAAGGTCTGTCTAAAGTTTAGACAAATATTTGGATTTTAAACTAGATTTATAAGGGGCATTTTAAAGGGGCATTGGCGCCATTGGGTAAGATTAGATAAGAGCTGACAGTTCTCGCTATAATAGTTCAACAATAAATAATAGAAACAGAAAATGCTGAAATTTCAGTCAGATTGCTTTGCTCTGAACCGAGATATAGGTGATTCCGTTTTAGGCTACAGAGCCAATTTTCTGAAAGGTAACCTTTTCTGTGGTTCAAGTATCTGATGTGAGAATCTGGGCCCTGTTTCTCGAAATCTTAACAGTGGGAATGCAGTCGACCCTACTCTTGGAAACGAAGCTAAGCCTCTTCACTAAATGACAGACCTTATTATCCAACACGAATGCATTATCATTTGACTCCACCCCCTCCCCTGCAGTGACACATGAATGTTGTGACCAATAACCACTTTCCTGTCTTAAGGCCTTTGAAAACAGTATTCCTCATTATTAATTTGTCCCAACTAATCATGGTTCATGAATGCGTGTTCTCGATATGTTGACACTTCTACGATGGTGGGTGACTACGAGTCATGAGTGAAATAATCTTATTTCGTTTAATCTGTTATACTAATATAGAGAAAATACAATTTACATTTTATGGATATAACTGTTACAACAAATAACACATCTACACAAATTTTTAAGTTGACCTCATTTCAATCAAATTAAAGACATGTACCCGTAAGTATTGTTTATATTCGCGTTACGTTTGGTAGTGGAACCGTGACACTGACATATTGTACATCGTTGACTTCAGGGTTAGGCTTGTTGTCTACCAAAGTTAGGTTAACATCTTCCACTACACTGCAAAGTCAGTAACATCATCAAGCTAACCTTTGCTAAAAGGTTAATGTTAATAACATCCACCAATTAGTCTATACACTAAACACAAGACCTGCAGCATTCAATCTCTGTGATCTGTAAATAATTAATAAAAAAACATATGAACTTACTTCAAATTTACACACTATAACTTATTACATAAACTTTATGTAGATAAGGAAAGTGAATTTTGAGATGCACTCCAATGACAAGTAGTTGATTTACATAAAAATTTACAAAAATAAGAACTGTTAATGAAAATAATAAACTGATTTACCTCAAGATAGATAATTGGAAATATTTTCTATACTTTTCTTCTGAAAAATGAAAGGGCGTAGTTTTATTATAAAACAAGGAACATGTACTACAAAAACATATAATTATTAATGTACCCCCTCGCCAACACGTACATTTGGAATTCATTTAATATAGTTAACTAAAAAAAATGTTAAAATCACAATTAATTATGATACCACAATTACAGGCTGGTAAAATCAACACAAAGTTCATACATTAGATTATAATAACCAGAATCGACTTGAAACTGATGTCTCTCACATATCAATGCCATAACTCTTGCAGTAATCATCAGATCTCGCTGAAAATCAATAGGCGTCTTGTCTCATGACCTTAAACACTGTGTATAAATTTAAAGTCAATTGGATTTTAACTTTAGCCTCTAGAGTGTTCACAAGATTTTTCAAAGTGATCAAGGGCCATAACTCTGGTAGTAATTATCGGTTGCCAATTCAAAACATATTTGTTTTCATTTTCCAACTCTTGTCTTACTCTTTTTGCAATGTAAAAATCACGAAAACGTTTTATTTCTCCCAAAGTGAAATTGCCATATGGCAAATCTATATAAAAGTCTTTGTCATTTTGTATAGACCCAATAATCTGATCCAAATCTTTAATTGGAGGCATGTATTTTGACTCTTCACATCTAGAGAATTTAATATTTGTTATGTTTCGTTTAATAATATAGCTTCTACATATAACAACAGGCAGAATTTTGTTAGGCAATGAGAGATTAATTCTACTAGTACTATTAGTATTTTGTAAAGCCATATTTGAGTACAATGTAACTTGCTCACCTGTTTTAATTTCCTTAGATTATACTGAATACCGTGGCGTACTGGAAAGGTCTTTGAAACCAATTTACGCTGAACAATCTAACACAGTACAGTAGTATAGTATTGTATGGTACCTTCTTCCACCAATCCAAGTGAAAAATCAAAACCACTATTGATGAACACTGAAATAGAAACATAATGTAACTACCCTAAATTCACATATTAGATAGTAAAAGCTTAATTGATTCTATTAGTTAAGTATAATCTTTGAAACTAGATCTATAATATATAATTATGATTTTAATAAATCTTAGCTGACAATAACGTGCGGATTTCATTCAGTTTTAAAATTGGTACTATAGGGCCTAACCAGTAATGCTATTCTGAAGGGAAAATACCGCTTATGACTCATGACGTCACTCAAATATGACAGAAAAGCACTTATTTTGGTGCCATCGAACGCATTGACTGGTATATAGAGCGTTTTGATCATTTGAAACTTTGAGTTTGACCTGAAACCCTATTAATTAATAAATAGGTAATATTAATAAAACAATACTACTAGGCCTATTTATTAGTATTTAGAATATATATCATATGTAGGCCTACATACACTGTCATACAGTGCCTTCATTTACAAGTTACATCTGATTTATTAACTGATTATCAGACTTATCCATTTGTGTGTATCTCATTGATCATTCTCAGGCTCAAGTTATACTCCTGACAAGTCCACGAGTCACGATACTGTGACCCCCTGTTGGTTGCTGTTGTACTTACTTGTAGTTAAACTGTCACTACTACAACTTAAGGGGTATAAATAAAATGCTTGAAATGAAGTCGGACTAGGTAGATATCTAGGCCTAATTATAATGTAGACTTGTTTTCATATCGATTACCCGACACCAAGACCACTTCTACTGTACTAGCACTAATTTCAATGTAGGCTACTTAGTTAGTAGTCTTACCCCAAAAGTTAGAAAAGACTTCGTCAGCAAAAAAAATTATTTACAATCGGTACATCTATGATTAAGATTTGATTTATGCAGTTTTAGTCAAATACTAGCCTACTATAAAGTAACAAACTTCATTTACATTACCCAGGTCAGAAAATCTCCTCAGAAAATAAAAGACAACTGTTTAGTGTTTGTAGCCCAATAAATATAAGAAGCTGACGCCGTTAAAAACAGTGTTAGCCTAAACATCAGAATATTGCGCCAAAAGCAAACCAGTTAAAAATATAATTTGCGGGTCACGGAAAGTTTACTCTGTTTGGAAACATGGTTTGGACTCAGACTAGCAATTATTTGCCCATTGACTTCAATGTTAAATGGCTGTAACATCACAGGCTGTAGCTTTTTTCTCAACATTCCGTTGGTTCCAATCTTTATAGGCACAATGGGGACAACATTTGGCAATCTCCTCATCATAATTTTGTAGGGGGTTGACCATTTAGATTTTTTGCTACACGGATTTGAAGTTGACTGGGGTGAAAATCTCACTTCCGACACAATGACTGCTCTGCAGAAAGACACTTTACACCCCCTATCCCTCCGCTGTAATATCATCAGTATTACCCAAAACTGCTATGAAATTGCAAATTTGATCCCTTTTCTCCAATTCTAGACCAAAAAGTCAACCAAAAAATGCAGGAAGAGGGGAGAAAAAAATTAAGGGAAAAAATTACTAGTCTTAGTCCGTTTGGTGTAGAGGAGTAACCGAAGTTGGCCGAGTGAAATCTGCAGCCGGTTGCCGAGTGAAAAATAGAAAGTAACTCATTGAAGATCCAGTATTGTGCCATTGTGTTCTTAAAAACCCATAGACCGGAAATAGAATTCTGACGTAAAGTTTAGTGATCCAAGGGAGACAACTCTATTAAGGGACATGTTTTTGTCAGGGTCAGACTGCTGATAAATTCAATTTCAACTTCATTGCAGTTTTGCTGGGTAAGAGTCAGAAACGCTATTATTTTCCATTCGTTACAGTTTAATAAACATCAGTTATTTTTACTCTGTTGTGTACACAAAGCTGTAGTCTAGTCGATAAGTCCCGCCCCAAAATGATCACGTGAGCGTTTTAAACGGAGGCTAACTAGGGCAGTGATCATTATTCTCGAAGTATGACGTAGATGGATCGCTGCATGCAGTTTGGCTCTCTGCTTCATCCTCGGAATCCCCGGTAGTCTCATTCCGTTAAAAAAAAATCTGCTTTCAGGAAATGAAATTTTACCACAATTTGGCCACATATCACTAACGATTTCCCTATTGGCTTTAATGTTAATTCTGGTCTCTTAGACTGGCTCTAACTTTTTCCCAAATTTTCGTTCGGTAGAACGTGTGGCATATTCTTGCTCGAAATCACGTATGAGGTTCACCATCGAAAACTTTAAATACACAAACTGGAAGTAAACATGCAATTTTCCGCCCTACGTACATATCAAGCTAAACAACCTCTCAACTCTCGTATCCTTCCACCTCAAAATCATAAATATTCACCAAAACCTGGCAGAAAATGTGTTTTCAAACAAGTTGCCGGAAATGCAGCCTGACAGTATTTCAGGCACTGATCGTTGAGGTAAAGTATCAAACGAACGGACTTGCGAAACTCGACGAAGCCCACTCAACAGCGTCAAAGTAGGGAGTCTTTACGGAGGGTATGAGGGACCTCCCCAAGAAAATTTTGAAAATAGACCGCCGGAAATGCTGTCTGACAGTATTCAGTCAGGTACCGATCGTTGAGATACATAGATCTGACCAGATACCGTCCGTCGCCTGATCACTAATTTATCCGACCAGACAACAAAATGTCAAACGAACGGACTTCCGAACCTCAACGAATTCAAGTAGCGAGACAAGAAAATTTTCAAAAATAGACTGTCGGAAATGCTCTACAAGATGCAAGTCTATGACTGAGTGGGGATGTGGGATTTAATAACCGTAGAAGGTACTGATTACCGAAACGTATCACAAATACTTTTTTTTTATTTTCTAAAATTATTGGGGGGGGGGGGGGGGAAACAGAGGGCAGACATATCTGTTACTTATGAAACTTTATTTAGAATAACAAATTGCATACAGATCTTTGAAATTCATAGAAAAGCCTAATGCAAGTAAAGAGGTGCTAAATTAATGAATTCGGTTGGAAACGCCCCCACCACCTTAATTGATTTATTAGTTCAATAATTCTTTGTATATAAGTTTGTTCCATGTCCACGAAGACAACCTCCTTAGCCGAAACACTGATATTATTTATACAAAAAAATCGACAGCAATTGAAATAAAATCAAATAAATTGAAATAAACTGAATTGAAATAAACACAGAAATCGAAATTGAAACAGGCATTACGCAAGAGCAAAATATGCCTATTGCAGATCTTTCTTTAGGCTTTAGATATTATATAAATTATTAATTAGACATTTATCAACATGGAAAGACCATAATCAACTCTCGATGCCATCCGATGGGTCCGATTTTCAACAAATTTGATTCCGACCTGTGTTTCAACGGCGGTTGATGATTAACCGTAAAAATGGATAATCGAGACTAGGCCATAATTGTATTGTATTCCCATTACACTATCGTTTTTTTTTTAAAACTATTGTAGCGAGAACTGTCAGCTCTTTATCTACAATGTAATCTTCCATAATGGCCCTTTAATACCATTAATTGTAATCCTAGTCATAGATGATGTCGTTGATGATTTGTTTTCCATCTTCTAATTTTGTCGCCAATTCTCTAATCTTCATGCTAACTTTTGTCTTCGATCCATTTTTCATGTCCTCAACGGTACTGACGATGCTCCAAATATCCACCACCACAAATACAACGCTGACCGCACCCATTCCAAATTTTGCAGTCCTCGACAGTTTTGCTGGATTCAAAAACACTCCTTTCGCCAGTTCTTTCAGTTCATTTATACTGAACGTAGTAAGTTTTCGCAGGTTAAGAGATTTTAAATCTTTCAATTGTAAGTTACCAATATTCGGGATTGTTATTCCACCAAACGAAAGGGCATCTTCAAGCATTTTAAAATACTTTCTAACCTCCGGATCCTGGATTTTTTTTGCCAATTCGATAACTTTGAGAATAGCCTCCTTTCCAAGTTTAGCCTTTTTGAACAACATGTTTGACTGCTTGGCGATTTCAATTAAATCTACATCAGTAAAACATGTAGTTTGGATAAATTCATCCAGCTGGTTGGATATATGAACAAATCTGTCCATAACGCGTATTAATTTTTCTGTTTTAGCTTTATCCAATTCCAACACATTTTGAATTTGTTTGCATCTTGCAAAAGTGATCCCAAACTCTGTAAGCGAAGCTCCGAACGCCGTTACCCCTCCTCCAAAACTGGCGGCAGCGCCCCCTATGGTTAATACCATTGAGAGTCCGCCAGTAAAAGGAGCTAAGATTAAACCAGCACAAAACGAGACCCCACCTACTGCACTAACAGAGCTGCCAGCCAACGAAGCCTTGTTGACATTCGAGTGATGCATGTCCAAATCTTCAGCTAATGAAGCCAATTGCGTCAAAGATTTATTTCTAGCTCTTAACCATTGTTCACAAGAGGATGTAAGGACAGCAGCTGAATCGTTTTGTTTCTGTACAAGATCCAAGTAAATATCAGATGTTCGACCGCGTCTTCTTTCCAACTCCATTTTTCTATAAGATCAAAAAATAAGAATGGAAATTAAAACGCAATGTCATGTCACATTGTTCCAAAACTCTATTTGAATTGGACTATTTTATCGATATGTCAATATTGGTATCATTACATATGTCCCAATATTGCAGTGTTGTTTCAAATTTGACATCTGACCATGACCACATTTTAAGAGGGTTTATTTTAAGAGTGTTGGAGCCACGGTGGCTGGGTGGGCCAGGTTCTGGCTCGCTAGCCTGGAGGTCGGGTGTTCGATCCCTGCATTGGCCGAGAAAGTTCATCCCGATTTTCCGACGTGGTTTCCCCTTGTCAGTGATGCAGCACGGAGGGCCTGACAAGGACAGCTGTCTAGTCCTTCGGATGAGACGAAAAACCGAGGTCCCGTGTAAACATTGGAATGCACGTAAAAGATCCCTTGACAGTTGGAATTCGATATAAGAGTAGGCGATAGTGCCGCTGCCCGGGCAAAATTTCCCTCATAGCACACTGTATGGCGTATGCCCGTCTTCATTAGCCCAGTATAGGAGCAGAACAGTAGGACGTTAAACCCCATTTCATTTCATTTCATTTCATTTTTAAGAGTGTTGAGCTGTCCTAGTCTACGCGATTTGGTGCGGTAGGTTGAGAGTTGGAATAACATCGTCGCATGATCCTTAACACTGCATATCAATGTAAAGTCAAGCGGGTGATATGATTCTAAGGCACTCACAAACAATTGTGGACGACGGGCGAAACAGACAGTGGTGACGACAATATACAGAGTCGACAGTCTAAACCCAGCATAAATAGTGTCCTTATCCAGACTGATTCGCATTCTGCTCACAGACAACTACTTCGAGAATAGATATCTGCCCTAAATGATGGTCATATCAAAAAAATAGTATATTATTTTGTAATGTGGTTCTACTCCGCTTCATATCTACCATACATACTAAATAAACACTTTCAATGATATCTTAGAATGTTCGACTAAAATTGTCGATTTAGGAATTAAAATGTTTGTCAACTATATTAATGTCTGTTCTCAATTGGAGCCAATTGACAGACAGTGTAAGTTTAGTGTGGTTGGCACGGTACCATAATTTATTTTTAGCTAAAATAAAGCAAGCTTATAGCCACGTAAAATGGTAGCCACACATAATATACAATGCAGTAAACAAAGGCCCAAGTAGACTTGATATTATAAGTGAAAAGTAGACCTACTACGTATACGAAAGAAATTTAACTCTAGATAAGAAATTATACCAATGATAAACGGTTAGGTTGTTGAAAAGCTCTATAGAAGTGTGTATAATATAAGTAAAGCTAATTTCAAAAATAGGTACCGTGTGAAAACCGGACCTGCCTTCCACACAGGTCACTGATGATTTGTAACTAGTGTCCCAAGCACAAGGGAATGAAAAAAAAACCCAGGTAATGAGTCAATGCCTAGATATAACTACATGGTCACATCCAATGGCGTCATCGGGTTATTGCTAACAGACAGTAATATGACGTGGTAATATGCGCAGTGTGCACAGACATGTAGCATAATGTCGTACTGGTACTATATTTAGAACATTGTAGACTATAATAATAATCCATCGGGGTGAAATTGGCTAATTCACCAAATAGTCTATTGACATAACAAAAATTTAATTAGGTTATTTTTATTTGGGTTAACGCCATATTTATCAATCTCAAGCTTTTTGTTCTCACTGTAGGCTACCGTAATTTAACTTTTGTTTGTTGTTTTTGTTTTTTAAGCGTTGGTCGTAATTTGTTTTTAAAAAAAGGAGATAATCAATTGATATTCGATACCATAGTCCTCACAAAACAATTTCGTCTGTATGTTTTATTTTCTATTTATTTTACTTACCAATAGTTTTAGTTTGTATCAGATGTTTTCTTTTAGAAGACGGTCTACGTTTATGTCACTTAATCTACAGTTCGACCCATCTGACTAGCAGTCTTCTTGCACAATCACCATCTTGTCTTTCTGTTGGTTTAAGACAAAACGCTCTTTATATCATTATAAATCTGGAATTACCGCAATTCTATTAATAGTAACATTCGTCATTCATCCAATAAAAAATAAGCCGACTCGAACAGCAGCTGAACATACAAATAGATAACTTGCTATCTCCGATGGAAATATGAATACCTACGGGACACCACGGGGGTCAATCAAATGAAAAGATAAAAGAAAATTCTAACTATGTCGTAATTAAGATTGTGGGCTTTTCATATGAATAAATGTCTTACTAATAATTTATATCACATTTAAAGCTAGACAAAACGTTCCGCAAAGGGCAAGTTCAGCTCTTGAATGTCCCTTTAATACCATACTTTAGACGGGAGGCGACCTTAAAACTATATATGTAATTACGAAATAACAGGGCATACACGAATATTTTTTTCATATTGTGAAAATCTACCACTTTCGTGTAAAATCATGTCGTCACATGTAGACCTAAGTCAAAGCCCTGTATAGGGAAAGTTACGGCAACTCATTTACAGGCGCCATTTTGGGTTCCAACTATGACACCATAAAAACTATGACGCCATGGCGTCATATAGCTTTACTTAACAAAACGTTTTATTTTTTTCTTGGTATAACGTTTTACGAGCTACAATGTATCCTAAACAAATTGCAAAAAAAAACCAATGCAGTTTGGTTCAATGATAAATATATATGTCAGACAAAATCATACTCAAAATCGGCTAAGGCAAAATGACGTAATTAACATAATTCAATTTGGCGTTCTTCAGGAATTATAGGAGAACGATATCTCGTAATCGGCGTCTTTCAGTGGTGGAAGGATAAATAATTTCTTTTTAAATTTCTCAAACACAGAGTGGTTATGCAAGCGAAATGTGCCGAAAAATCGAATTTGACAAACACCAATTAAAAAAATGTATTTTTCATTTGGTGGCGCGCATTTCTGTCAAAATGACTGCCAAATTTGATAATATAATACCACTTAAAAAGAAAAAACCCCAAAACATTAATTTGGTAATAAAGGGGCAGCGATAATCTCAAAAATAAATTTCGAGAATTCTTGAGGGTAGAAATTCAAAATCGCCGACAAAACGAAATCCAAAATGGTTGAATTTTAATTCATCGTCTTTTTTTTCTTTCGGTGGGTATGTCGTATATATGGGTTTGGTGGTTGTTGGGTTCTATTTAAAATAAAAACAACTAATTTTGAATGGTCCAGATGGTGTAAATATAAAACGACAATCAAAATAGAAACCAAAATGGCGATGCCTGGCCTTGTGGATATTACTTGCAATAAGGTTTTTACGGTTACTGAATTCAATATTTCAGTTAGGATTGTCTCAAACATCAAATTTTGAGTTCGGATAGGTCTGATAGAGTCCCTAAACCATGATTTATCCTGTGGTTCTGATAGAGCTCCTCTAAACAACCATGTGCCCTGTAGTTCGGATAGAGTCTCTAAACCATTGTGTACCCTTTAGTTAGATGTACCCTGTAGTTCACAAAGAGTCTATAAACCATAATCGAGTCTCTAAACCATGTTTACACTGTACGTGTAGTTGGGATAAACCATATAGTCTTGTAAATAGAAGGTCGATTGTCAAATTAATATGAATTGTACGATATGTTAATCGCGAAATGACATAGTTTCTCTTAAATGAATATATTGTTAACGTGCTTAAAATACCTGGATGCAAGAGACTTGGTGTAAAAAATTCTAGGTACACACTGTTAACCACCCATAGATGTTTTTATGACATTAATTCATATACTTTATTCAGCTCGACGCAAAACTTAAAAATATATAGACACTTGGTTTAACTTGAATGTAGATATTAATCATCTACGTTGCATATACATGTATGTACCTTGCGGTTGAATCATATCATAAAAATATCTTATTTCATAGAGTCTTACGTAGGTTTTCCTTTTAGCCTTTGAATTTTCTTGTTTCACTTGACTAAACAAAACATTTTGTAGGAATGTATGCTTTTATAGATGGAACAAAAAAACCGATAAATGTTGAGATGTGTGGAACATGTTCGAGGCAATTTGTAACACGCTATATCTTTGATACTGGTTGAGCATCAGAACAACTTCATTCTTTTCATTGGAAATGGGGCGCAAATACCCAGAGGAGTCGGACAAACTCAAAACTAACTGCGTCCCCTTCACTGGGCCCCTTCAATGTCTGTCTACCTGTGGGATAACATGTGTTTGTATGTTAAATTTGTGCGGTTTATATATTAGACAAATTATTATTATTATTTACACATAGGCGGGGAGTGATAACGTCTTGCCCCAAACAAATTGCAAAAGAAACCAGAAAGTTTCGGAGAGCGATATCTCGTATCACATGACACTGATGAAACATATGCCATAAACACATGTCGCGCATAGAGCAGAGTGGCGCTAGACACTTTCTATTTAAATTACATTGATTTTAAGTTACACTAATTTTAAATGTTTTATCCATCAGTCAATTTAAAGAAATTTCAATTTTCGAAAAATTGATGATATAATTAATGACACACAATCCGGAATGGCTCCAGACCATAAAATTATGGAATTTCAGGCGCTTATTTTGCCGGCTAGAAGGCAAAATGGTTTTATCTCCCAAATTATTATTTATATTTTTATTTTTTACTTTACCCGCCTGCAGAAAAATCTGATTTTTTTCAAAAGCGCATGCAAGCTAAATATATTTAATAGCGCTTTTATCTGGTGTATCTTTTACTTCATTTTCTTATGAATTAGGCTACATTATTATAACAATAATGTACGCTTTGTGTTGTATAATAACAATAATAGTATGTTCAGCTATACTTTTCGTTTAAAAAATGTATGTTTTATCTCTTATAGATAGACTCTTTTTCGCGGAATTCTATGACATATCTATCCACATCCCTGTCGGGGCAGGCAACTTCGACACAATAATAGAGCATAAATAGATAGTGAGTAGGTACAATTACTTGGGGCCCAAGATGGCGTCTTTGTACATTTGACGTCATATTTTCATGACATCCTATGAAATTTCTGGCTTCACAGTTGTCGCAACTTCATCTATATATTTTGGCCTAAGTGACGTCTTTAGGTCATATAAATCAAATATTCAGATAACACCACATACACATCTGTTATATTGCAAAATATAAAATCAGCTGTTGTCAGGTAAGATACGCCCACATTTTGCAAGAGATGGATAGAGAACAAGCTAATAAAAAAGCGATTTTCCGTACAATCAGGAGCCACCATTCACATTTGAACGTAACCAACTTTAATCCTTCCGCCTCAACATCATAAGTAGTCCCCATGCACCAAAACCCGGTAAAAAAAACAACCTTTTGTTTTTCGTTTCTACACAAAATGTCAATATGACAGGATGAAAAGGGTGAAAGACTGTTAATAGAAGGGGTGTGTTGGTGTCCTGTGTCCCAATGTTACTGAAAATCCTAAATGATACTGGATAATCGTACATTAATGCCTATTCTTTCATACAGGGGTTTTCACTGTTCACACTCAACCTTTTCTATTGGCAATAATGGCATCATCATCAAGTTTCTAAACTTTCAATATCCTCATACTTCACTTATTCATTCTTCTTTATCTTTAGGGTTCACGTAATACTACACCTGCACAACTATTCTAAACAGTGCGCATTTCTAGCTTCAAAGCAGTTTAATCATGAAATCCACTGACGATTTTTTAGAAATTGGGTGTTATCTTTTCTAAAGTTCCAGATTCCAAGTGGGTTTTTTTTTTTTTTTTTTTTTTTTTTTTTTTTTGCACCCGAACAAGACACATTTTCCATATCTGCCCAACACTGCAACAGGCACCACAGGCGTTGATTCCCATCTGGCAATTTCAAATGGCACCCGAAATCGTAGAATACACGACTCGTATGCTGTTTATAAAATGTTAATTGGGTCTGAAATATTAAGATCCTATATTTTGACGGCAAGGTATCTACATCAATATTGATTGAAATTGATCAATATTGAATTCTAATTCGTGTTTTTAATTTCGAGTATTATGGAAAAATATTGAGTTAGAAATTTAGCTCCTTTAAGCTAATCACGTTGGGCAGTTCAGTGAAATGTTTGGTTTTGAGGGTTTTCTTGAAAAACAACACAGAGTAGCTTTAAAATCAAATGGCCGTTAGTTGGTTACATAAAATAGGCCTGTAGGTGTATTGAAATTAAGGGGCGTCGGTTTTTGGGATCTAAGTGTATGAAGAAGTATATATATGCATTATATGGAACCCTCTAAGAAAAGCTCAGGATATATTAGTGATAATTTTGAATTCAACATTACTTGTAATGGGAAATGACAGGCTGATATTAAGAACCCGTCCCTTTTTTTTTTGGATGCAATCCGGGAAATTTTGTTCTGTATTTTCGGAAGCTATGGAATCCGGAATATCGCAGGAATAAATCTACATAAGAGTATGAAATAATATATACAGAATATATTATTTGCCTACCGTGTAAGGGATATAGTTCACAATTTCAGCCACACGAAGGGGTTAATTGACCATCTGAAAAAGAATATCTACTGGTAATGTTCCCTATATACCTTGACCTCGCCAGATCCAAATTGTTAATAGGTGAAAAACTCTAAACTCGGTATGATATAATACAATCTAACACCAAATAAAACCTGTCTTTGATCTTATATCGTAAACTGATATTAAGTATGAGTTAATATCTATATATACCGGTAATGTTGATGTTTACAATTTAATAAACCAAACATAATATACTCTTACACCAGATAAAAAGACGTGTTAAAGCGAGAATTTCAAATTTTCTAAGAAAGTCAAAACATAATTATTTCTATGTCTTTTGCTCAATAGGTTATCAAATCACTATTATACGATCATTATAACAACACAATTACCTCCCCTGTTTTTGCTATTGACAACATGGGGCAGCCATTTTCCAACGTTGGAATTTGAAGTTAAAAATGATATTTTTGCCAATTTCTCAGCTGGCAATAGCGAATTATAGGATTAATAGGATTATTCTTTAACAAGG